AACAGCTGCAACAGCTGCGGAGGCAGCAACAGTCTCAGCAACAACCACGTATCTATCATCGAAGAACTCTATCATCATGGTCTTAATAGACTCAAATAACTCTGGTATCTGATCCCTGACAATAGCCACACCATCCTCACGGAGGCTCTCCATAATCCTGTCATCCAACGCGGCTGACCCATCCAGGCGGCCTGCACCCGATCCCGATCCAAATCCAATATCGACTCTACACGTAGTCACCATACATAAAATAAACTAGGAGGATATCAGATAACACACATATCATAATGGGGAACCAACTCCCAACAAGCCCCAGGGGTTGTGATTTCTCTGCTACGCATATGGGTCCTTGGCTTTCAGTAGTACGGGCCCATACTACCTTCCATACCTACCCATAGTTGTCTCAGAGGATCATCACAACAACCCTAACAATATACTCCCCTCTAGCATATTCATGCACTCTATCCTCACTTCCTAAAGGAAGGCTACACATATTGACTGGCCAGTTGACCCCACATAATTCATCCTACAACTAACTGCTACATGACCCTCCATTGGTGCCAGATAACTATCACATGAACACTATCACATACTGCATAACATAAACAATCTTAGGCAAAAAGATTCAGTCCTACAATGGTTGGACTCATACAAGACCTGCACAACAGGACCAAATCCCCCACCCTAAGACCATTTAATCCATACATCATGTAGCTTAGCGTATCCACTCAATAGTGAGTTCACACACGAAAGAGTCATACAACAATCAATAGGGTACTCTACAAGAGATAAGGCATCAAATATCAAACAATGTTATCATACGATTCCTGAGGATCCCTATCCTATCACTAGCATGTTGTTCTAATCATAACATAACATAATATCAATTAGTTGTATGTTAATTTAGGGTCACTTACTGGCTTCGACTGATCGTACACATTGCATCCTCCTCAGTTATTTCAAAAACCATTTGAAAATTATTTTAAAATCTTTTTCCTTAGTTTGAGACTGGATTCACACGAGTGTTCCTCCAATTCACTCAAACCAAGGCTCTGATACCAACTTGTAATGACCACAAAATTTTTAAAAATTTAAACTTTTCAAACCAACCAAAATTTTTCATTGTATGATAAAACTAATTAAGCAAATAAAAGCAGTAAAAAGGGAGAAAAAGGAACAGACTCCCCTAGGGGGAATAATGGCGAGATCGAATGAGGTTGCTAAAAGTTGCTCCATAAATGTGCTGGAAGATAGGAAACTGGAACTGTTGCGTCTGAATTTGCCGGTAAATAAAATCAAGAACACCAACTTCTCAAATGTGGTGCAAAAGATTGCAAATAAATGCAATGTGTAGTAACCATGACGTGGGAAAGTGTCGACCACATCGTGATATCGAGTGAAGTGACGTGGTAATTGGTGGCCACGTCGTGATATCGATAATGATAGCCTCCTCTCACGATGAAAAACTCCCCCACGATATAAGAAAGTGTCAACCATGTCATGGAAGCTGAGATGATACTTGTACATCTCGTCGAAATAAAGCTCTATGGTGTGGGAACAACTCATCCATACCACAGGAGTCAAAATATGGAAGAAATTCCACTCTTCTAATATACTCTCACCCCACACTTATTAGAAGTTGTGGATCTTGACTATAAACTTCAAACTCTCACACGACTTTCTCTCTCATGATAAAGCAACAGTCGGACCTAGCTGTTGAACTTACTGCCAACTTTCTAAGGGCGAAAATTCTGCAAAGATCTAAAACAATCCAAGAGCATCAACATAGAAAACAAAATTACATAAACCATAATAAAACATCCTAATTAAAACACACCAAAATAAAAATTAAAAAAACTAAAAAGTCTAATAAAATAAAATAAAATAACATAAAAGGATAAATAGGTCACTCATCATCCCTGTCGTCATGCTGTTACGTCCCTGATGTGCCTGCTCCATCATGTCGTGGCTGGTATGGTGGTGAAAAAGGAACTGGTTACTGAAAACCCTGATGGGCAAAGAATGCGATCATCGTATCCCCATACCACTGCTATCTACTCTTCATGTGCTCATAGCGCTCGTTAATGCGCTGAAGTCTCTCGTCTATAAGCTGAAATCCCTCATCCATTTACTAAACCAGATAACGTATATCAATCTCTGGCTTTGGTCCCCGCTGAGAACCTCGAGGATCTAGTCTACGCCTCCCCCGTCTCTCAAGCACTGGCTCCTCTGCACCCTCCTCATCAGCTACATTATCTATGTATCCGGATAATACCATCCTCAGCTCGATGAACTACTTGCATCAACTCCATCAACTGTAAACTCATTGGCCTCGTATCATAGAACACCATAGATCTAGTGATCTCCCTCGTCGATAACTGATATGATCGAGCTAAACGTTTGATGAAGTGGCCACCAAAATTTGGGCTATCCTTACGAAGCCCCCTAGCTCTCCTCCTCATGTAAGCAGCTAAAGCAACCGGGAGGTTCAGGTGCCTCCCCGGAGTAACAAGAGTCCATAAGAAATACGAATCTATAGAAGGAGCCCTCTCACTATTCTTATGATGTGTAAGAGACATAGAAATCAAACGATGCAATAATCTGTAAGTGGTATTGTAACTTTCGTAAAAATTCAAGCCAATTTAAAATTTTCAAAAACAACCCAATTTCGTAAAGTTATTACAAAAAGACTTCCAATACATTTATTATCAGAGTATTTCCCAGAACCACATCATAAACACATAAAACATGAGGAGCGGTACGATCATGCCTTTGCCTTGCCACGGTCTCGTGAAGTACCTGAAACATTTAAACCACAACTGTAAGCCCGAAAGCTTAGTGAGATACCCCCAAAATACCAACCACATATACCATACACATAACATGCCATATCATAACAGAACACAAAACAGCCATGCACTTCAGGTCTACTATGTGACTGGTCCGCCGCACCGGGCCTTCAGTCCACCTGGTCCACCCTCCGAGTCTAGCCATATCCATCGAGTCTACAGTGTGGTTGGTCTGCCCGCACCGGGCGTCAACCCACCTGGTTCACTCTTTGAGTCTACCAATGACAGGTCCGCCCACACCGGGCCTTCAGTCGGTTTGGTCCACTCTTCGAGCCTCGGCATGTCTGGTCTGCCCTCGTGGGGCCTACAACCTATCCAGACCGCTCGCTGGGCCTTCGGGATAACCGGTCCGCCCTGGGTATGTTGACCTACAACACAAAGCAGGACCCGCCTCAACCCAACCCCAGTCCAACAACCATGTGCACATAAACATACAATCATATAACAATTCACATCCAAACAAACCGATCGAGCAGATCACATAACATAACATCATCCTAACCAGGATACCGACCTAACCGAGTCTTTAATATATACCACCCTGACTACCAGGATGCAAACATAACAAAGTAATAACATAACAACGATACCCGGATTACAATCCGATAAAGGGACGGTCTTGGTACCTTAGACCCTATCGATATAGTAAGGATAACTTACCTCGCAACTACCAAAACTCTGAACTAAAGAAGCAGATTCCCGAATCACCGACTCACCGAAAATCCCAAACTATTCGAAGCAGTAAAACAATCATTAGTCCAAGCACAATATCCTTCCAAGGGTAAATTGACCATTTTAGCGTTAACCTGAACTGGTCCATGACTAAGGCCCAACACCAGAATATGAAGGGCCCAACACTAGGTAAGCTTCTTAAGCCCACTAGTGGCCCACTAATGGCCCAATTTGCTACATTGGGCCCAATCCCTTAATGAGCCTCATCCTAAGCCCACAATATATTCCTTGGTCCATATAATATGATTTTTGATGGTCTACTAAGGCCCGAAGACCCAAAGTCTAAGGCGCAGCCTACACCGAGGCCCAAATACTCAAGGCCCAACTGGCAGTGTTACGTGGGGCGTAACTCAACGTACGCTTAGCATACCAGCTCCATGACGAGTACGTTGGGCGTACCTGCACGTACACTCAGCGTAGTGCTCTGTTAAGTCATTTCCTCGTTAAGTGCTTACTACTCCATTCCAAGGGCTACAAACTCATATCCAGGTCTTATCTCACGACTTAAACCATAAAGTCACTGACTTGGTGACTTAATATAGGTCAAACCAACTCAAACTTCCGAAATGATCTTCTACATCCAAGAAGAGGACTAGATCTCATGCATGGGCTTAATAGAACCCCAAAGGTTGGAACTTTACTGCTTATGGGACTCATATGACACTAAGGGAGGCAACCCTGGTCTTAGAAACGAGCTTAACCCACCAAGGCCCAAACTTGGGACCAAAAGGTCCATAAACTTGTACTAGAGGAGATCTAAGAGATTAATCATCAAGCTCAAGACTTTTTACCTTGCATAGGTCCGAAATGAAACACTTATCCCAGATCTACAAGCTCTAACTTCAAAGGTTCCTCCTTTCCAACCTTCTTCTCTTTGTTTCTAAGCTTTAATCCACCAAAATGGGTTCTTCAAGGTCAAATACACCCGACAATGGAGGTAGGACGGCTATCTAGGGTTTCTGAGGATAAGAGAGTGTTTATGGAGGCTAGGGTTGGAACCATAATGTTCCTTTTATAGTGGATGTCCCAAAAATTAGGGTTTAATGACTTTGGGCGTATGTTGGGCGTAACTCTAGTACGCTGGGTGTACACATCCTGATATCCGCGATCACTCATCCTACTATGTTGGGCGTAACCCAGCTTACATTGGGCGTACCCACGCGTGTCCCCAAACGCATGCATGTTCTTTTTCATCACTTTTTCCATTATGGGCCATAAATGTCAATATCTTTAAAGTATCATAACTCCTTCATTCTAGATCCGTTTCCGACGAACTTTATATGCACGGAAAGGTTGCGAGAAGCCCTATGCTTCTATCAACATACACTGGTCCGAAACCTTCTCGAATAAAACACATTGCCCATAAAAGACCAAAACACCCCATACTCTTGATCCCGTGGATCCATGAATAATTTACTCTTAGAACGGGGTGTTACAGGTAGACCGAATCATCTTCCCCCGGGCAGTAGATGGTATGTAAACTCCCCCAGTAATCTCAGCCCAAAAAGTATTTTCATTGTAGTCATTCGACCGTGTTGTAACACAATCAACAAGGAATGTCAGGAAGTGGACACTCCTAGTCTCGTTTGCAGTATAAATCCCAACTCTAGTTGAAAGCTCACTTGCGCTACACTCCTGACTTACACCACCAAGTCAAAAGGAAAAAGTTGTCCTATCATCGGGTGTCTTCCTAGGATCATAGGAAACTGTAGAATAGAACTCCAACAAAAATTCCTGATAAACAGGCTCTTGAATCCTAAACAATCTTTTCCAACCTCAGCATACGAACAAAGACACACCACTCGCATCTAAGTGGATGTATTGCAAAAAATTCCGGATCAGCTCATCAAGTCCAGTTTGGGATGCCAAACTCCAGTCGAATGAAGGTGCAACGTTAATTTCTTTAATGAGCAACAAACTCAAATTGTTCACATATTTGCCACGATTTTCATCATTCAAGGTTCGTGGGAATTGCAAGAAGCGGTGATCAGTTACGTCCTTTGGTAGGTTCGTTCGTTGCGTCCTTCTAGCCATAATCTTTGTGTCAAATTTTACAAGAAAAGAAGGAAAATCAAGAGTTTTGTAAGGATTCAGCCGCTATAGTTGTGTGTGTTAAAAAAATTGAAAGAAGAACCAAAAGTCAAAGGGTAAAAGATATAACTTGTCGCTGATTTACGCTGGGCCTAACTCCACTATACGATGGGCGTACCTGTTCCATGCTATTACGCTAAGCGTATACCATTTGTATGCTGGGCGTACTTCCAATTCCAAGAAAGACTCAATCATGATCAATTGTTAATTACGCTAGGCGTAACTGTCTTTACGCGGGGCGTAATTTTACTGCAATATTTTCATTTTTCTTTTTCCTCTATTAGAAATTCCTTTTTCCAACTAATTCATTTGGGAACTTCTTAATTTTTAATTGCTGCGAACAACATCCAAGACTTTCCGATAAGTGACACATTATCATAAAAATAAACATGATATCATGATCACTCGTCTTTGTCAAAATCAAATAACATTTGTTGATTAAATCCCTTGCAAACAAGAAATGGTTCGTGAAAACAACAACTTGCAGGACTCGTTAGGCCATTTCCTTTGCTTTCTTTGCACCATTAACTAAAAGAACAAGAGTTGACCCAACTAGTCAAGAATAGCAAGAGTTCGGTCTTCCATTTAACCACCATAATACTCCTTGCTATACTACGCCTCATGGATTGAGTTAGACAAATCACCAAAGTAGTAGGCTAAGCAAGTCAAGAATTCCCTAATCGCTTCCAATCTCGAAACCCATGCAAAAGATAAAGCCAATAAATGTGTATGATCACAAATTTTTTCACATAACAATAAAAACCTTCCCTACAAGTGAAATGATATCAGCGAAAATAAAAATAAAATAAAAGTAAAAATTAAAAACAAATAACGAATAATCAAACAAACTAAATTAATTGGAAGCCATTTCCCAGCAATGGCGCCAAAAACTTGATGTATAATATTTAATGCACTGGTTTTTTATTTATAAGTCCTAATTTATTGCATCTAAACCACACCTTACAGGCAGTGAACCCGATCAAGTATAGTATAACTTTGATAAGCAAGGGTGTCGAACACAAAAAAAACGGTAGTGAATTAATTTAAAATATTTGATTATAGGTTACAAAATACACGAAAGGAATAAAGAAATTTTTATTAAATCTCAAACGAATAACTAATAGCAAATCTCAATAAACAGACAGGAAGATAAATCTCTTCAGGTACTTTGGTTTAGACAACATACACCTTAAAAGCATAGACAACTGCATACACAGGTTCATTTATTCATGTTCACCGATTTCTGAAATGATTACATTCACATTCGCTATTACTAATTCTTTAGCAAACAAGTCAATTCAAACAGTGATCAATTGGTTAAACTAACATGCTTCCTAGTGTTTAGTTCGTATCAAGCAAGACTTGTAATAATAATTAATCAAATTACTAATTCAATTAACATCTTGTTGATGGTTCGTCACACAAGGCTCACACATTAACTTACTTATTTCCTAGTTAAACCTAGTTTCACGTTCGCTATTCCTAGGCATATAATCCTGATGGTCATCAAAATCATAAGAGACAAGCAATCAAGCAGATGTTCATATAACTTAATATACTTAATAATTAACAGAAAATAATTGTCATTAACACATAAGGATCTTTTAACAAGCTTGACAAGATAAATGAAACATAAATAAAACAACCTAATATAGCAATTAGTTCAATAATCAAGGATTTATTTAATCATAAAATCAAAGTAAATGGTTTTAACACCAAAATCAGAAAGTAAAAACATAATAGTATCACAGCGGAATGCTAAGCATGGTCACATTAACAAACCACATGATTACCGACACAAATTCGCTTTCTATTCCTTCTGATCTTCGCTCCTATCAGCTTAACGGCCTTCCAGCCGCCTTCTAGACCCTTAAAATGGACAAATATCTGTTACTTGTCGACTAAGGATAGATGGTAGTCAGAATCTCCCTTCTGGTTGGCCGATATTCACTTTTTATAACCTTTGGAATCGACTTACGTACGCTGGCCTTAAGTCGGTTTACGTTGAGCATAACAAGAATCCCATCATGATCAGGAAGTCCGGACACCAAGTCCAGCACGTTGGGCGTAAGTGAATCTACGTTGGCGTACTACTTGTCTCGTCGGTACGCTTAGCGTAACTTATATTACGTTGGGTGTAATAGCAGTCTTCAACAATCTTTCTCTCATTTTTCTTCTAAGCCCGAATTCCGTTCCAATCTTTTCTCTTCCGCTCTATCGACAAGTAATAACTGTAAATTATAATTCAAAGCATTATAAGTACCTTTCAGTTCTAAATAAGAATAATAAGGGCTAAAATATTAAGATATAATATATAAAAATATGTATAAAAATACACATATCAATTAAACCCCATAAAGATAATGCCTCCAAATCTTGAGGGCAAAAACCACTGCCCCCAACTCAAGATCATACATGTGATATCTCGTCTTGTGTGGCTTTAGCTGCCACGAAGCATATGCTATCAGTCATGCTCTCTGCATGAGGACCGCCCCCAAACTAGTGATGCAAGCATCTCAGAATACCACAAAATCCTCAATTCCCTCTAGAAGGGTCAAAACTGGGGCCTCACATAATCTCTACCTAAGGGTCTTGAATGTTGACTACTACTTAGGGCCCCACTGGAAATCCACCCCTTCCTCGTAGACGAGTGAGGGGTACTGCAATCTTGGAGAAATCCTGAATGAATCTCCGGTAGTACCCTGCTAATCCCAAGAAACTCCTGATATCTGAAGGACATTTTGGAACCTCCCACTGCAACACAACCTCGATCTTGGACGGATCGAACAATCTCCCATCCTGGTTAACGAGGTGTCCAAGGAACTGAACCTCTTGTAACAAAACTCGCTCTTTGAGAACTTAGCATAAAGCCGATCTCGCCTCAAAACCATCAGAAGCTCGCGAAGATGCTCCTCATGCTTATATCTGGTTTTGGAATATACCAAGATATCATTATTAATACGATAACTGAACGATCGAGCATTGGCCTGCATACTTGATTCATCAAATCCATAAATATCGCAGACGTATTGGTAAGTCCAAACGAGATCACCACAAACTTATAATGTCCATAATGAGTCTGGAACACACTCTTCTCGAGTTCCTCCTATCTCACCCTGACTTGATGATCCCCGAACCTCAGATCTATCTTGGAGAACCAAGATGCACCCTGCAATTGATCAAAGAGGTCATCATTCTGTGGAAGGGAATAACGGTTCTTCACCGTTAACTTGTTCAGATCCCCATAATCAATGTACATCCGGTGTGAACCATCCTTCTTCTTGACGAACAAAATCGACATTCCACTCGGAGAACTACTTGGTCTGATGAATTGCTCGCCTAGTAGCTCTTGCAACTAAGATGACAACTCCTGCTTCCCAGGCAGTGCCAAGCGGTACACCGCTGTGGTGATTAGATTTGCACTTGGCACAAGGTCGGTCCTGAACTCGGCGTGCCTCTTGGGAGGCACACCAGGTTACTCCTCCGGGAATACATCTGCATACTCCCTGACAAGCAGGATATCAGAAACTGAAACTTGACACCCAACACACGTGTGCACCACATAAGCCAAGTAGCCTGTGCACCCATGCTGAATATACTGTTGAGCCTTGGCTGCAGAACAATACCTTGAACACATCCTAGTGCCCTCTCCATAAATAACCAATTCTCCCCAATTTAAGGTTCGAACAACCACGTGCTGGCCCTCACAATCGATCAAAGCACCAAACCGACTCGGATAATCCATGCCCACAATCACACAAACATCCCCCATAGTAATAGGGATCAAATTGATCGGAAAAGATACCCCGAATATCTCTAGAACACAACCCCGATACAATAAAGAAGCACAACCCCATGTTCGTTGGCGATAGAAACTCACAACAGACACTCTAACTCCCCAATAGGCATATTGAACTCCCTACTTAATGATCAAGATATGAAGGACCAACTCATACCCGAGTCAAACAACATTAAAGCATGCAAAGAGTTCATTAGGAACGTACCTAACAGAATCACACAGATAAGCATAACATAAAACATAATTATCAAGATAAGGGATACAAACATACCAGTCACCACATCTAGTGCTGCTCTGGCCTCCTTGGCAGTGAGCTAAAAAGCGCAACCTCAAGCCCTCGGGGCGCTGGCTTGGCGGCAAGCAAAGGACGGTTAACCATCATATGGCTAAACTGATCACAATGATAGAAAATCCTTGTACTCTGATGTAACGCCTGTGTTTCCGGGCTTGCCATTTTTAGCAATGTAATGGTCTAGGTTAACCTTTGTAACCCGTTTTGAAATAATAAGATTGTATTATTTGAGTATTATGTGATTTGTGTTTAATTGCTTAATTATGTGGTTTGATTAATTAAGAATAAAAATAAGCGTCAAAATTTAAGTGTAAAATAAACTTGATATCTTTAGATAATGTTGTAGTAGTTGAAACAAGGTTTCCGAAGATATAAAGAATGCCGAAATCTGAGTTATAACGAGGAAGTTATGACCTGTCGAAGTTTTGTGACAGAACCGGCAACGCTGAATAACGTAAAAAGTGAAATTTACGTTAAAGCGATATTTAGCCTTAGTGATCTAAACGAGAATCGAAGATCTCGTTGTTAGTATCAAAGCGATAAAACTTAGGCGAGAACGGACGTCAAACGAAGAAGTTATGAATTTATAACGAAAATTTCTGTCCCGATCTATTAAAAATAAATAATAAAAATAAATTCAAAATTAGCTGACGGTGTCTAAACGAAAGTTGTAGAACGTAGTCTCACCTTTCCGTGGATATAAAGAACGTCGAAAACGGAGTTCGTATGAAGAAGATATGAATTTCCGAAGTTTATTAATTAATTTGTATTTATTTTTAATTGAAAATTCGGAAGCATTATCCGAAGACGAGTCACAGCTCTGATCCGAGGTACGCGCCGCGTACTCGAGTA